ACAAACATTTCGATTGTACATGTGTCCCTTTGGTGAGTCCAATGAAGTAGAAGTTTCACTCTGTTATGTTTAGGCTCAAACCGCGCCCCAACAGACTGCAGCCGCAGTGCAAAAGAGTGCTGCCTGTGGTTAGGTCGGAGTGGGGTAAGATAGGATACGAGTGGACCTTAAGATTTGGTCTAAAACTTTCAAGGTTGCATGATTGAAGATTCGGAGGAGGTCAATGATCCCATAGTCGCCTTCAAAGAGGAAATGGCACTGGCAACCGGCCTCTCGATGTCCGGCAAAACCTCTAACCTCTACACCGACGCAAAATCACATCTGGAGGATCACGACCTGAACGTAACTTGGCAGGCCGGCGCCACTCTCTCTTCCCATTGCTTGTACTGTCCATTCCACGACCTCCTTTTCACGAACACCTTGGTCCCGAAAGGCGGCAACTTTGGCTGCTTGATCCCGAGTCCCGTCTCCTTGAACCCGAGATACGAAGTGTCTCATGGCGAACGGCCAAGCTGTGGTTGGCATCTCCGCGGCTACCAACAAGATTCGGGTTGCAGCTTTAGGGCGACCCACGCAAGCTTCTGTCCTTCCATTTTGGCGGAAGTCGTCGACAGTGGTGGTGGTGCGAATGATGTTCCTCTTCAAGCAAAACTTCTTGGAGGCCGCGTTGCAAAATTCAGGACCACGGTCTGAGTGGATACGCCTCACACACAGTCCCAGGGCCTTGATCTTTACCAGGATATCGCAGATGCCCTGCCTCTCTATCACCTTCCGCCCCTTCCATAGAAAGAAGGCCGGTTTCCTTGCTGATATTTCGTGGCGCAATGGCCGTGGGCGGAGTTCGAGTACACTGGGGAGGGGTTGGTGTGCCTCCCGCAGTGATACGCGCCGTGTGCAGCCACAAGCCATGCATGGTTGACTACAGGGGTACCGTGCAGGGTGTAAAGGGACTTGATTATTCCTTTGTAATTCTGCGCAAGAATGTATTCCAATTCGTGTTGGCAATCCAGCAACCCAAGTAACGGATGGTTACCATGAACCATATTTGTTTTTCTGGATTGCGTTTGCCGGCTGATTGTGCGTGCAAATTATTTCCAGTGCCAAATGCCTGCTTGCAAACGCAATGTTGAAAATGAATTTTGAGAGCTTCCGAAGATGCACTCAAAGCGCTGTTGCGTATCCTGGCTACAGTGACAGCGCTGTTTACGAAGGAGCTACGCTCAGATGAGGGTACCCGCGATTTCTTAATTCTGAGGCACACTGTTGTTTATGAAAAATATTCTAGCTGACTTTGAGGGCACCTTCAATTTCTAAATATAAACTTCTAAGTCGGGAGCTTGAGAAAATTTGACAAACATGACAACATATCAAAAACCACAAGTTAAGAAATTGAGGGACTCGTGTTCTTAAGCTTCAAAAATTGAGGGGCTCAATTTCGTAATTTGGCCGTTTTTGAAATCTATCAATTTTGCGTCAAGATTGAATTGGCCGGTGGTATTTCTTATTAAGAAATGGAGCAGCTGTGGTATTATTTCTTATTGAGCAATGGAATGGCTGTGCTGGGATTCGAGCCCGGGGGCGCGATTCAGAGGCCCACGCTTTAACCGTCAGGCCATAGCATCCTCCAGGATACAAGTGATAAGAAATGGTTGAATTCTTCAACAAATAGTGAAGATGACCAGATTTCCAAAAAAACACACATTAAGAAATTGCGGGGCTCGTTTTCTTAGATGTAAGAAGTTGAGGGGCTCAATTTCCTAAGTTGGCCGTTTTTGGAAATCTTTCAATTTTGATTCAAATTGTAAATTACTACACATGTACCCTCACATAAAGGCGTTACAACTCAGGTAGCTTTTCAGGTGGTAGTGCAACAAGTTCGAATTGTGTATTTGGCTCAAGCTCCCCCTTAAGCTTGAAGCAATAGGGTATATACTTAGCTGATGCCTTTACATTCGACCTGCGTTTGAATCCACGCGGAGCTTTGAGATCGTGAGAGGAAAATTGAAGAACGAGCTTTGGGTTGCCTGACATTCAGTTCAACTGCAGTGTTGGTCAGTCGCCCTTTTACAGGTTAGCAGCCGTAGGGTTGCAAGCGTGGATATATGCTTTCGATTGAAGGAAGCTCAGGGTCCGCCAGTACGAACCAGACAGCCACATTTGGGTATTCTATGAGTGAGACTGCAGATGACGCACCAGCTGCGCCGGCGCGCGGTATTTCCATAAAGGATGCGCCAATTGGGCTTGGGTGCAACGCAGCATTGTGTTTTTTTTGGACAGTACAGCACTTTTTGATGAAAAATTGAAAAAGTGCTGTACTGTCCCAAAAAAAAACAATGTTTTTGATGAAAAACGGTTAAAAGTGCTGTACTGTTCCAAAAAAGCCCAATAAAACCAATATTTTGAGGTCTCCAGGCCCCCAGGCCCCAAGACTCCAAAACATTGTTTTTTTTGGGACGGTACAGCATTTTTTTGCACGAAAAAATTAGGTTTATTGGGACAGTACAGCACTTTTTAATGGAAAAATTGAAAAAGTGCTGTACTGTCTAAAAAAAAACAATGTTTTTGATGAAAAACGGTTAAAAGTGCTGTAGTGTTCCAAAAAAGCCCAATAAAACCAATATTTTGAAGTCTCCAGGCCCCCAGGCCCCAAGATTCCAAGACATTGTTGTTTTTGTTGGTGTTTTTTGAGACAATAAAGCATTTTTGAACGAAAGCATTGGTTTTATTGGGACAGTACAGCACTTTTTAATGAAAAAATGAAAACGTGCTGTACTGTCCCAATAAATCCTAATCCTATAGAATTCAAAGCAGGGAACCAAGGATTCTGGAATTGCTTCTGATCCGGTTTTCGAAAGAATTCATACAAACTACGTGCATTTCCAAAACATGAAAATTAGAAATCTAGGAATCCAGGATTTCTGTGCCATTTCTAATCAAAATCTTAAAGAAATTCGTACACAGGATATCCTTCCCAACATTGGAAATCCAGGAATCAAGGATTCTGGAATTGTTTCTCATGAGCTCTTTAAAACGAATTCATATAAACCAAATTCTTACCCACAATTGGAAATCCGGAAATCCACAGGAATCTCAGGATTGCTGTATTGTTTTTAATAAGGTTTTTCAAGGAAATCATATAGAAAAGGCCCCTATGGAAAGCCTCAATCAAAGAATCGAGGATTTTGGAATTGTTTCTAATCAAATTTTAAATGGAATTCATATAAACCAAATGCCTTTCAAAAACATGAACAATGGAAATCCAGGAATCGAGGATTTCTGCAATGTTTGGAATTAGAATTTGGAAGGAATTCATATACACCAGAATCCTATGGAAATCCCAAACCAAAGAATCAAAGATTCTGGAATTGTTTCTAATGAAATTTTAAAAGGAATTCATATAAACCAAATGCCTTTCCAAAACATAAACAGGATCTCCACTGTATTTCTGAGTAGAATATTAAATGGAACTAATATGAACAACATCCTTTTCCCAACTTGAAAATCCAGGATTCCAGGATTGCTGTGCTATTGCTAGTCAAAATCTGAAAGGCATTCATATAAGCCAAATTCTTACCCACAGGTGGAAATCCAGGAACCCAGGATTTCAATGCGATTTCTTATCAACTTTTAAAAGGGCAATCATATAAACCAAATTGTTACCCACAGTTGGAAGAGGAAATCCAGGAACCCAGGATTCCTGTGGTGTTTTTAATGAGGTCTTTAAGGAAATTCATATAGACCAGAGCCCTATAGAAAACCCAAATCAAAAATTCAAGGATTCTGGAATTGTTTCTAATCAAATTTTAAATGGAATTCATATAAACCAAATGCCTTTCAAAAACATGAACACTGGAAATCCAGGAATCGAGGATTTCTGCAATGTTTGGAATTAGAATTTGGAAGGAAGTCATATACACCAGAATCCTATGGAAATCCCAAACCAAAGAATCAAGGATTCTGGAATTCCTTCTAATCAAATTCTAAAAGTGCTTCCCTAAGGATTAGCAACAATGGTAGGTACATGGGGGGGGGAGCTATCTATATATATATATAGGTGCGTGGCTGCCGAGGGGCTCGATTTCTTCAACCAATGATTTCTTAAACAGTGTTATCGTTGTACGTACCAGTTGGGATCACAGCAAAGAAGCCTTTTCAATATGTTTCGCTGTTACAACGACCCCGGCACGTGGACGGTGGTGGAAGGCCTGGGGGAAGTGCTTAGATACGGTACCCATACCTTGAACAAGCCCTACACAATCACGGTTTTTTATGGAAGGGGTACACCATATGTATCATATGCATCCTGTCCCGAGTGAAATTACTTTGCAAGGCGAAACAATCTTTTGGGATTTCTTTCAAACAATGAACAACTTTTCTTGACGCTCGGTGTTTGCCGCTCTTTGAATCATTTCATGTCCTCATTGTTTCTGCATTTGTACATGCAGCATACTACGATTGCTGGCCCTTCTTGTTGGGTTCTCTTGGGAATTAAATTCGCGCATGAATTTGGTTGTTGCGTGCTATACCCAAAGCTTACAACTCATTGGTGGAAGGCAGTAGGCCAGGACACATACAGAGAGCAGTGCGCAGAAGGAGTCCGCGGGAAATTCAGTGACAGAACACGTTACACTGCGAAAAGTTTGGCGGAAGGTGTCAGAATTTATAGTATTTCGGCCCAGTGGCTTGCTTTGACCTACCAGTGCCGAACCAAACCTGTCGGCAGGACGTTGACGCTCTCGTCGCTGAAGTTTACGCGCCCTCGGCGCCTTGCCAAGGCGGGTCTCAGACGAGCAAGAGGAAGAACTGACGTCGTCAGTCGTAGTGTCGTAGTGAGGTGTGGAGGCCAATGGCACTGGCCGGTCCTTGGGTGCAGAGCTCTTCCTGCACTGCCTGGTGCCCGGAAGTTTCTGGAAGCCACGATGCCTCTATGGCTTGCGCTCAACTTGCGAGTTCGCACGACTGGAGGGCCCAAGCATGCTTTCTGATGTGATTTGGGGAAGTTTAAAGCCATTGTGGATGTCATGCGTATGAGTATTTTACTTGCATGTTATGATACCTTACGCATGATTGTTTCACATGATCACAAGGATGTGTCAGTGCGAGCACTTCACACGACAGACATGATTTCTCACGTTTTTCAGCCATGCGTGTCAGCTTGTCAGAGAACAGAATTATCGGCTTGGCTGGGTTGTTGTTGCACCTGTGATGGCAGGCATGTCTGTCTCAGTGAACGGGCTTCTTTGACAGAGGTCCTGCTGGCTATGTGCTTGTTGCCGGCACAAGACGCGCAATTTGCAGCCATCAACAGGAGAGCACTTTTTAGAGCTTTGCCACAGAGCTACCTTCCTTCCAAAAAGCGTTTCCTGCGAACATCTGTGAACTACGTGTTTGGATCTTCTTGTTGCCAACTTTCCTTTCAGGACTCCGCGGCTGGTGCCTGGACAGACGTTCTTGGTGGGAATTTGCAGCTGCCCGTCTGCGTGCCCTGGACGCATTGCGCGCATGCAAATGACCCCGTGAGTGTGCGCAGTGTTGCGCAGCCAGTGTGGAGAGTGCAAGGACCTGGATGACAATTGGTGTCCGATGCTTCATCCGGGTCACCAGAGCTTCATCGTGAACGTGCCACGGATCAATCCGCTAAGTCGCTCCTCCAGCTCCTCCAGCATTGTCAAGCAGTTGAGGCCACGGCAGGCCGCCGTCTGGGCTCTCTAGCACGGCACTCGGAGAAAAGATGGTGCTCCGAGAAAAGGCGGCTAGGTCGCGGCAATTTCATGAAGAGAGGCCTTCTTCCGTTGCCTCGATGATGTGCAGCACCTCGGCCCGTGTCGGTTTCCAATGCTGACCTGAGTGACTGAGATGTCAGGCTAGAGCCGGACACGGGTAGCGTGACGGTGCGGTGTGTCATGGCTCCTGACAGGCGCAAAGCAGCCGAATGGTAGCCCTGAATCAGAGAGATGTGCGTTTGTTGCTGTGCAGTTGCGGTGCCGTTGCGAGAGTGCTGCGAGAGAGTCCCCTAGAGCCAGAGTTGTGAGGCATAGGCATCCAAAAAAATTGATACGGAATCAAAAAAGAATTTGATGAGCATCAACAAATTGGTAAGCATCAAAAAATTGAGCCTTTCGGCTTGAGAATAGGTTGATGTTCATTTCGTTTTGCAAGCACAGGGGTTTAAACGTCCTCAGCACATTTTTTTCGCAAGAGGCCTTGTCACCAATGTACGTTTAGAGAAAACACAACAGTGCATGGTCCAGAATGGACGCCTGCTCGATATGCCCAGCTAGATTTCTGGTTGGCTGACGAAAGTTTTGTCAGAAGCTGTAAGGATGTCCCAGCTAGAACTGATATCTATTTTCCGTCGGACCATTACATTGTAGAAGCTGTTTTTGCCGTGAAACTCAGTGCTTCCAACACCCACAAGCAGGAACGAGTAAGCAAATTTCGGCAGCCAACCAATGCAGAATGGCACGCATATAACCAGAAGTTAACGGAACTAATCCAAGCAGAACCGACGCAAGAATGGAAGGATATACCAAAAGCAATTGCTCAAGCAGCAGCATGCTCCCTCACTAAACTCAGCCATAGACAACAGCGGGGATATATTTCTAGAAATACATGGGATCTCATAGAGAAAAGACAGGCTGCGCATGAGCAAGGGCGTAACGTAGAAGTGATAGAGCTGAATCGCAACATTTCAGTCAATGCAAAAAAAGATAAGCGAAGCCATGTTTTGGACAGTTTGAAAGAAATGCCGGCACAAAAGGAGAAATGGCAAGGAGTTAGAGGTTTAAAATCAGGTTTCAAGCCACGTTTCACGCAGTTGAAGGACATTCGCGGTAACTTTGTACCACCCAAAAAACGGGCTGAATGTTTTGCTGAGTATTTAGAACAGAAGCATTGGACCAGCCACAGTTTTTCTGAAGTTGAATCCTTCGATGATATTCTGAGCGACAGAGCGTTGTTTAGTGTTGACGAGTTTACGGCAATAGGATACGATGATGCGCTTAAGAATGCTAAGTCTAACAAGCAACCCGGCCCGGACGGACTTGCAATGGAGTTGTTTAAATGGATGAACCACACAAATAGAGCAAACATTCTGAAACACATAAATAAATGGTGGATCACAGCAAAAGCACCACCTGAAATCTTCCTCGCGAGGGTAGTCTGCATTTTCAAAAAGGGAAACACGGATGATGCAGCAAATTACAGACCAATTTCGTTGTTAAATTCTGTGTATAAGCTCTACATGTCTATGATTAGGAACCGCATGCAACAAGTGTTAGAAGGTTCTCTTTGTTCGACGCAATATGGGTTTAGACCAGGACGCAGTACGGCGCATGCAATCTACTTAACACGGCGGATGCAGGATATCGCTGAACAGCAAGGCAGCAACTTGGTAATCACAATGTTAGACTGGGAGAAAGCATTTGACAAAATTGTGCATGACAGACTGGCCATAGCCATGGACAGATTAGGAGTTCACCCCCACTACATCAATACCATAATGAACGGCTATGAGCAGGCAATGTTTTATGTTGAAGATGAATATGGCACCCAAGATGTCAAGAAGCAGCACTCAGGTATTAGACAAGGGTGCCCGTTATCTCCATATCTTTTTGTTTTCGTTATGTCAGTCATTGACAGCGACGTTGGCAACAAGTTAACAACTAGAACGACTAACTCAAGGCATGATGGCATCGGCTTTGACCGAGTTTACTTTACTGATGATACTTTGTTGATTACAACAAATACTCGAGCTGCCAACAATGTACCTCACCATGTCGAGAGGATTTCAGAACAATACGGTTTACAGCTCAATCGGGATAAATGTTGCTACGTTGCAATGAACGGCGATAATACTAGCAAATTCCGGGATGGCACCAGACTTAAGCGCGTAACGGAAGCAACGTATCTAGGTCATCAGATCACACATAACATGAACGTTAAACACGAAATTAATTGCCGAATGCAGCAAACGTTGATTACGTGGTATAAGCTAGAACCATTTTGGAAAGCAGCAGCTTGCTCCGCGAAATGGAAGTTAGAAGTTTAGGATGCGATTATAAAAAGCAAGTTGTTGTATGGCTTAGAGACCATCCACCTCACGCAAGCAATGCAAAAAAAGGTCAATACTTTTCAACTCAAGGGCCTCAGAAAGATCCTCAATTTGCAGAGCACATATATGAATCGCGCTCACACCAATGCTTATGTAATGCAAAAGGCAAAGCAAGAAATCAACAGGAATCGCACAAACAATTTACGCGAAATCAAGCTTTTCTCAGAGTTGGTGCAGCAAAAAAGATGTAAATTAGTGGGTCATATCCTTAGAACTCCACCAGAAGATCCGTTAAGACAGGTCAGCTATCTGCCCAACTCTGCAGCTGTATATCCGATACACAGAAGACGGGTTGGAGGGCCACGGCAGCAATGGCTCTTTTATTCTAACAAATACGTTTGGGAACAAATTTTGCGCAACCACTTCAACCCGTACACTAGCAGCAACGAGCAAAACAATGAAATTTACACAGAAGCAATCAGCCGCCAATTTTGAAGCCGCTTTTCCACGCGCCCACGGCCTCATCCGTCGCCCAGATGCGCGAGGCTATGGCATAGAAAAAAGTAATATTAATAGTCCTAGCAGTAGTAATAGTGATAGTAATAGTAAAAATGATGGTAATAGTAATAGTAATAGTAATAGTCATAGTAGTAGCAATAGTAATAGCACAGTCACAGTAAGAGGAGTAATAATAGCAATAGTAATAAGTAAAAATTGGTAATAGTAGCAATAGTAATACTACCGCTATTACTACTGCTACTACTCTTACTACTGCTATTATTCCTATTGTTATTATTGCTATTAGTATTACTATTACGCTTATTATATTCCTAGTATTATTATTATCATTGCTATGGGTATGACTATTCTTATTTCTATGATTATTTCTGTTACTACTACTACTACTACTGCTACTACTACTACTGCTACTACTATTATTATTATGATTACTATTTCTGATTATTGTTATTGTTATTTTTATAGTATTCCTATTACTATTACTATTACTACGACTACTATTACTATTATTGTTATGATTACTATTTCGATTATATTCTTATTGTTATTTTTATTCCTATTACTATTACTTTTGCTTTTACTATTATTATTACTATTATTATTACTACTACTATTGCTATTATTATTACTATTACTATTGCTATTATTTGTATTACTATTACTGTTATTATTCTTATTAATATTATTCTTACTGTGACTATTCACTCCAGTGCCTCAGCTGTAAAAGAGACACCTGACCGCCTTGGTGTCTGTACCGTCGTGAGGGCAGTAACGCACAGGTTACATCTGACCGGGGGAGGCTGCGCCCCCCCCTCGAGCCATTGCTTTGCGANNTTCTCTTTGTTCGACGCAATATGGGTTTAGACCAGGACGCAGTACGGCGCATGCAATCTACTTAACACGGCGGATGCAGGATATCGCTGAACAGCAAGGCAGCAACTTGGTAATCACAATGTTAGACTGGGAAAAAGCATTTGACAAAATTGTGCATGACAGACTGGCCATAGCCATGGACAGATTAGGAGTTCACCCCCACTACATAAATACCATAATGAACGGCTATGAGCAGGCAATGTTTTATGTTGAAGATGAATATGGCACCTCAGATGTCAAGAAGCAGCACTCAGGTATTAGACAAGGGTGCCCATTATCTCCATATCTTTTTGTTTTAGTTATGTCAGTCATTGACATTGACGTTGGCAACAAGTTAACGACTAGAACGGCTAACTCAAGGCATGATGGCATTGGCTTTGACCGAGTTTACTATGCTGATGATACTTTGTTGATTACAACAAATACTCGGGCTGCAAACAATGTACTTCACCATGTCGAGAGGATTTCAGAACAATACGGCTTACAGCTCAATCGGGATAACTGCTGCTATGTTGCAATGAACGGCGATAATGTTATCAAATTCCGGGATGGCACTAGACGTAAGCGTGTGACGGAAGCAACGTATCTAGGTCATCAGATCACACATAACATGAACGTTAAACACGAAATTAATTGCCGAATGCAGCAAACGTTGATTACGTGGTATAAGCTAGAACCATTTTGGAAAGCAGCAGCTTGCTCCGTGAAATGGAAGTTAGAAGTTTACGATGCGATTATTAAAAACAAGTTGTTGTATGGCTTAGAGACCATCCACCTCACGCAAGCAATGCAAGAAAAGGTCAATACTTTTCAACTCAGGGGCCTCAGAAAGATCCTCAATTTGCAGAGCACATATATGAATCACGCTCACACCAATGCTTATGTAATGCAAAAGGCAAACCAAGAAATCAACAGGAATCGCACAAACAATTTACGCGAAATCAAGCTTTTCTGAGAGTTGGTGCAGCAAAAGAGATGTGAATTAGTGGGTCATATCTTTAGAACTCCGCCAGAAGATCCGTTAAGACAGGTCAGCTATTTGCCCAACTCTGCAGCTGTATATCCGATACACAGAAGACGGGTTGGAGGGCCACGGCAGCAATGGCTCTTTTATTCTAACAAATACGTATGGGAACAAATTTTGCGCAACCCCTTCAACCCGTACACTAGCAGCAACGAGCAAAACAAGGAAATTTACACAGAAGCAATCAGCCGCCAATTTTGAAGCCGCTTTTCCACGCGCCCACGGCCTCATCCGTCGCCCAGATGCGCGAGGCTATGGCACAGAAAAAAAGACGGAGGGCGAGGTCCTTTTCCAGGATCAGAGATCAGCATACCCTAAACCCTAAACCGCGTCGTAACACGCCTCGCCTCGCAATGCACCTGCCCAGCGCCCGTCCTGTTCTTGCAATGTCATTTGTGGCTCCGTGTCCTGGGATAGTTTTTGTAGGTCTCTGCCGAGCTTGTGAGTC